TTCTTTTAATTTTTCTAATGCGCTTACAGTTTTCTTTTTGGCCGCTCTAAGAGATTGCAGAAACTGTTCGTAAAAATAATCGTCCCAACGATAATAGGCATCAATAAAGAACTCAAAAATGTTCACTGCATTTAAGTATTGCATTAATATTTAAGCTTGCCTTTTAGAAGTTCAAAGATAATTCTTCTGTCGTCACTTAAAGACAGTTTGATGAACGTAGGTCCTTACTTTCCGTACTAAAAAATATTTTTTTTATTTCATGGTTGACTTTCGCTGGATTTCGTAATTTCGATTATCCCCAAATTTATTTCCAAATTATAAAAAAACCGTTATCGCACAAAAGAAATGGCAACCTACTGCAGGAAACAAAATCTGTCTCGTCAGTCATGTATCGAAGGATATATGACTGATCGCCTAAGCGTGTATATTCCGTTGGGTCATTTCGAGCTCATTTCTCCGATTATCAATTTCGAGCCATTATCCATTATACCACAGACACATCCAAGCTTACAGTCCCTAGTATTCCCCAACGGTCACTAATCTAGGTACTGACCAGGCTCGACGTTGGTTAACTTCGACGATCGGTGTTTCAACGTGATGTGACCGTAAGCACTCCATACCCTAGAAGAATTTTGCATAGACGTTTCTCATTATTCTGACAGTAAATTCAACTGTTTTTGCTACATTTTCCATTGAGGTTGCTCCCAGGGAAACTCGATGATGTAAGACGTATCAGTCACTTCATACCGAGAAATTTCTGTAAGATTCGGATTTTGAACTAAGCGAATTAGTAACAGCGAATTCTATTTCGATCACGATCTTACAAAAGTAGACGATGCACATGCCGCTTTACATAGTAGAAGCGACCTGGTTTAGGCTGTTGACGTGAACAATCATCGGACTTGGGAGTTTGGTATGGATAATGAGAATTTTATTCCCATCTGGTGCCCTTCCTAGAATAAAAGATGGCATCCAAGACAACCGGCTATATCTGAAAAACATCATTCGGTAGATTAATTTTATTTATTTTTTTATTTATTTATTTTTTTTTACCAAGACGTATTTGAATTTATGAAACGTCGGAAATTGATGCGTTGCAATTCTTTGACGAGCTCTATAACGCAGCTGAAACTTAGGAGAGAAGTCACTGAAAAAAAAAAAAGCAAAACAAACAAACAAAAAAGGTGTCTCTCTTCCAACCAGTACTCAAGAAGAGAAAAGAGATCTTTATAAAGTTTTGAGAATAGAAAAGATCTCATGAAGGATAATTTTAAAAATATAAAGCTGTCAGCATTGTGTTTAATAATAACCTTTCTCTTCAAAGACAGAAGCAGATAGTATAAGATGAAAAAGGAAAACGTGTCTTACAGACTTCTTTATTAGATAACACACGATCATATATATATATATATATATATATATATATATATATTTTTTTAATTTATTTTAACCCTGTAGACTCCAATGTGGGGTAAATGGCAAACATGCTAGTTGTTGCTGCTTTGGTATCCATGGGAAGTAGTTTAATTTCTAACAGAGCGGTGTTTGTAGCTCCACACCCAAACTGATTTGAATTCCGAATTTTCGTTTCCTAAACTTGTTAACCAAATCTAGAGATTCAATTATACTTTACTATTGGCCCCTAGCTTGGTTTTTTTTTTTTAGAACAGATGGATTCATACCTTTCCGAATGGTATTTATGCGAAAGCCAAAGCAGGGCCTCGACTGCAAAAAAAAAATGTAAATTTATGGGAGAAACGTATGGAAATTATGCATTCACGTATTCAGCGATGCCGTTTCATTTTCCTCGGGGTTACCAAGTGTCGGTTGCTCTCTTAACTCTGCAATCTCCATGTTGACGTATAGGGTTGCAGATTCAATATGCTAACTGTTGCTACAGTGGATACCGAAGCAAATATATATTTAGTAATCCCCTACCCAAATGGGTGTGGATTCAGATGAAAACTTTTGCGATGCAGGTGAAATTCAGAAGAGAAATAACTGAAAAGAAAAAAAAAAAAGAAAAGCAGTAACTCTGTTCGAGCTGTAAATTCTTAATAGGAAGCAACATCTACATAATTCTTTGCAAAAAAAAAACTACTGAAAAATAATTGTAGAACATAATAAACCTGTTGCCGATTGTAAAGGCACATAACACTAATTATTTATCTCTTAACAATCTGACTGTCGAAGGTCAATGACGAAATCTGTCTTCAAAAAGCAGACTTATAATAGACAAGCTAGGCAATAAAAAGTGTTTTATGAGTTGATTTATAGCTTCAACGGAAGTCTTAACATTGTTTTCATACTTAAAGTTTCTCTGTGAGTAAAGTAGTTGTTGGCACCAGCAGGTGAAAGTGTTTCAGAAAGTGCCAAGAATCAGATAAAAGAATCGCGCCAAAAAAGAATTAATTTTAAAATCCCAAATATGTCTCGGCTTTAAATAAGCCACCAAGAGTTTATGAAATAAAATCTTGAACAGGACCTACATAATTTTTTTAAAATAAGGCGATCTATCTATCTATCTGTCTACATATAAGTACACATGAAATACATATGTACATACACACAAACTCACGCTGGTCATGTAGAGGAAAGGTATCGAGAACTTTCCTGAATATATATATATATATATATATATATATATATATATATATATATATATATACATTATGAAACTTTTTATGTTTATAATAAACAGTATTAACAACATTTACCGGTCTGAATGTCCGAGAAATTTTCATAGAAAATATGCGTCCCCGGACAGGAATCGAACCTGTATCCTATACGGAACCATCATATAGCATGACGTGCCTTAACCGATTGGGCCACAGAGGAACGTTCGGTTAGCAAGGTCGATTTTACTGTTTTTAAGCACAATTCTCCATGATTTTCCCTCATTCATTCATATCTGCTCAATGCGTATCCAAATGTAAACAAATGACGTCATACATTATGAAAGGGACAAAGTCAGATAATTATTTTTTATGTTTATAAAAATGTTTATGACGCATATTTTCTATGAAAATTTCTCGGACATTCCCTTAAACGGCAAAGCCTCGTCCGGGTTCCTATCTGCTCGAGGCAGAAAGTTCGTCAGTTGAACAATCTGTTCGACTGTTAATCTTTAACAGTACCCGACGGAGATGTATCTGGCACAAGGCCGAGTTTGCCGTGGAATCTCCGAGCCCGTAGGCTCGCCTAAAAAATATTCTTTTAGAACCCGCATAAAGGGGTTCAGGGCCTGTCTACCTCCCCGGACGAAATTTTGCCCTTCGGCAAAGCACCGTCCGGGTTCCTTTTCGCTCAAGGCAGAGAGTTTGACAGATGAACAGTCTAGCAGTGTTCCCTCAAGGCCTCCTCTCCTACTAAACTTATAGTAGAAGGAAGAGACTCTTTAGAGAGAATATACCACAACACTATCTATCACTCAGTTGGTATGACTATATACATTTGTTCATATCTATCTATCACTCAGTTGGTATGACTATATACATTTGTTCATAACTATCTATCACTCAGTTGGTATGACTATATACATTTGTTCATATCTATCTATCACTCAGTTAGTATGACTATATACATTTGTTCATATCTATCTATCACTCAGTTGGTATGACTATATACATTTGTTCATATCTATCTATCACTCAGTTGGTATGACTATATACATTTGTTCATAACCATCTATCACTCAGTTGGTAAGACTATATACATTTGTTCATATCTATCTATCACTCAGTTGGCATGACTATATACATTTGTTCATATCTATCTATCACTCAGTTGGTATGACTATATACATTTGTTCATATCTATCTATCACTCAGTTGGTATGACTATATACATTTGTTCATATCTATCTATCACTCAGTTGGTATGACTATATACATTTGTTCATATCTATCTATCACTCAGTTGGTATGACTATATAGATTTGTTCATATCTATCTATCACTCAGTTGGTATGACTATATACATTTGTTCATATCTATCTATCACTCAGTTGGTATGACTATATAGATTTGTTCATATCTATCTATCACTCAGTTGGTATGATTATATACATTTGTTCATATCTATCTATCTATTACTCAGTTGGTATGACTATATACATTTTTTCATATCTATCTATCACTCAGTTGGTATGACTATATACATTTGTTCATATCCATCTATCACTCAGTTGGTAAGACTATATACATTTGTTCATATCTATCTATCACTCAGTTGGTTGACTATATACATATCATCTATCACTCAGTTGGTAAGACTATATACATTTGTTCATATCTATCTATCACTCAGTTGGTATGACTATATACATTTGTTCATATATCATTTGTTGACTATATACATTTGTTCATCTATCTATCACTCAGTTGGTATGATTATATACATTTGTTCATATCCATCTATCACTCAGTTGGTATGACTATATACATTTGTTCATAACCATCTATCACTCAGTTGGTAAAGACTATATACATTTGTTCATATCTATCTATCACTCAGTTGGCATGACTATATACATTTGTTCATATCTATATCACTCAGTTGGTTGACTATATACATTTGTTCATAACCATCTATCACCAGTTGGTATGACTATATACATTTGTTCATATCTATCTATCACTCAGTTGGTATGACTATATACATTTGTTCATATCTATCTATCACTCAGTTGGTATGACTATATACATTTGTTCATATCTATCTATCACTCAGTTGGTATGACTATATAGATTTGTTCATAACTATCTATCACTCAGTTGGTATGACTATATAGATTTGTTCATATCTATCTATCACTCAGTTGGTATGACTATATACATTTGTTCATATCTATCTATCACTCAGTTGGTATGACTATATACATTTGTTCATATCTATCTATCACTCAGTTGGTATGACTATATACATTTGTTCATATCTATCTATCACTCAGTTGGTATGACTATATACATTTGTTCATAACTATCTATCACTCAGTTGGTATGACTATATACATTTGTTCATATCTATCTATCTATCTATCTATCTATCTATCTATCTATCTATCTGTTTACATGGCTATCTATATCTGTTTATATCTATCTATCTTGGAGTGCGTACTCAAGTTCACAAAAAATACGAATAAATTTTCCTTAACCCCTCTGTGGCCTTCTCGTATGTTCGACTCTCGATATCATTTAGTAAAACGGAAGACAGAGTTTGATGTAACTAATTAATGAATTTAATTCTTCCTATGAACCTCATACGTGTGACTTACTGTTTCTGTCAGTTGAAGCCTTGAGCCCTAAAATTTCATATCCTTTTTCTAAGTGGTAAGAAGCCGTAAAAAGCGAATCAATCAATCTAATTGTTAGGAGACTGATGACCGCTCGCGTAATGGTTAGCAGGGAAGAAAGTTCAATAATTTGAGTTCAAATTCCAGGCTTCTTCTGTGTACCGTCTCCCTTCAGGACGTTGGAAATCATGGCTCTCCACAATTTCCTCTCCTTTTGTAGCTCTTAATAAGTTTTGTCTTTTTTCTTGTCTCTCCTAAACTTCGCTCCGCTATCAATTTATTCAAGATCGCTAGATGTCTTACGCGTTGTTGTCCCCGTCTGGTTTGGTTTCTTTTTACGGCATATCAACACCTCAATGTGTTATTTAATGTCGACAAAATTTTTATTGCTGGTAATAATTTTTTTAAAGTATTTCTGGTATTAAAACCTATTTTACAATTACATAGCGTTTTGAGTCAGGTAGGGGGTTAACTATTTGTCCATAGTTGGGACCCAAACGAGTGCTACCATGCCGGGTCAAGGTGGAGCTGGGAAAACCAACAATTAAGAGGTGGCTCAATGCTACTCAAAAGAGGCTTTGTTGTTGGATTTAGTTTATTGTCATACCCAGGACGGTGTTCTCCTCTGTCACTCTTACGTTAAATCTATCCTGCACGCATCAAATTTCCCAAGCTTTCTTTCCTCATCATGTCCCTTAGAAGTTTCAACTGCCTTTTTCTGTTATTAAGTAAAAGTGTTCTTTTTGTTTCCATGTTCTCGTCATTACTCACATGTTCAGTCCATGTTACTCTCAGCATCCTTCTGTTGAAACACATTTCTTTTGCATAAAGTCTGTTCTTAATCTGGGACGAGATTGTCCAGCCTTTATTGCTATATAACAGTTCAGTACTCCTTTTTTATAATTTTCTAACGGATTTTTTCAGTTTCTTAATACTTTGCTTAGCTTTTGGTAAGCATCTTTCCCTATCCCAATACACCTTCGAATTTCAGTGTCGCATTTTCCGTCTTCTGTTAAAACACTTCATAGATATTTAATTTTTTATACTTGTCCGATTTTGGCATCGCCAATTTGTAATTTGAATGTTGGGTTGTCCATTTTGTTAACAACCATGCATTCCGTTGTCTTGCAATTTATGTTGAGTCCTTTCTTCTCACTGAAAATCTGGAGGTGCATTAGGATAGCCAAAGGTGTATTCCAAAAGCAATGCAGAGTATTAAGAAAATTTCGTTAGAAACAAAGTGTACTGAACTGTTACGTGATAACTGTCTTCCTACATGGCAGTGAATGCTGGACAATCTCCTCAAAGATGAAGAACAGACTTAAAGCAACAGAAATGAGGTTCTGCAGAAGGATGTTGAGGATACCATGGATCGAATATGTGAGCAACGATGAAGTTTTATAGAAAACTGAAACGAAACGGAAACTTATACATAACATCAGGAAGAGAGAGTTAAAATTTCTAGGGCATATAATGAGGAAAGAAGGCTTGGAAAAACTGATACACACTGGACAGATTGACGGCAAGAGTGACAATGAAAAAAATATTTAGTGATCTTCCGTAAATAAACGGCGGAACATGGTTTAGGAGAGATAACAAAAAGATAAAATTTATAAAGAGCTATGAATGATAGGAAATTGTGGAGAGCCATAATCGCCTACGTCTTGAAAAGACACGGCACCATATAAAGGAAACCAAGCAACAAAATTTTAGGAGAATAAGAACGTCTTGACCACGCCATTCTTATAGCAGGAGTAGTGTTGAAGAAATTCTGCTGCAGAAACTTAATTAAAGGAATGAATACCTAAGAGAGAAGATGTCGTCAGGCTACATGCTAAAGAAAAAGATGGCGGAAGAGGATTGTCAGAATCGAGGATGTCAACTCAGCAATCAAGGGATTTGAAGAATACAAAAGATAGTACCAGGAAACACAACCCATGGCAAATAAAATATACACTGAAACAAACAAAATTATGAAAAGCAACTCTGGAAATATCGGAGAGTGATAAGATGCGTAGCAAAAAAAATTATATTTAAAATGCCTTCCGGACACATGTATTCACGTCTCTTGACAAATTCCTTTTCGTTATTATTTCTGAATTGGCCTGACATCTTGGGAAAGATAATGAAGTATTTTTCAGTTGACCTCTCCACATTTTTCAATTCAAATTTGTCCTTCTGGACAGGGAGCTATTTTAACTTTTTGTTTAACCTATAACACAATGACTTAATGTAATGGTTCGCAGGCATGTCTCGCTAGTTTAAGTACGTGTGAGTTCGATCCTCACTGGGTATTCCATAGTTTAGGCCTTGTGTCACATCAAAGCTACGCGTAGTAAATAGACTACAATACGATAAAATCGACAGGAATTTGAACTTAGCTTTTTCTTCCTTTTTTTTTTACTAAAAGTTAACCTTTAGTCAACTTTTACTAAAAAAAAAAGCATGAATCCTCGTATATGACAATGAATACTTTTTTAAAAAACATTTCACCCCAAGCAAGGTAATAAAGCCACTAAGATGCAAAGAGTTATTGAATTCGGGAGAATATGAGAAAAAGAAAACATTAAGGAGAGAGAAGAATAAAAGAACAGGAATTACTTTTTTTAATCATTTCACGCTAATCAAGGCAAGAAAGCCACTGAGACGCAAATGGTTACTGAGTGTGAGAGAATATGAGAAAAAGAAAACATTATTAAGGATAGAGAACAATAAAAGAACAGAAATTAACAATTGACATTGCATTTACGTTTTTAACGATCAAAGTTGAGTGGAAAGCAAGAAGTTCCACAAGTGAGAAGTGCGCGAGGAGAGACTGTTAGCATAGAACTTAAGGTTATATCTAGCTAGGTCAAATGTAGGCATGTTCATGAGATCGATAAAAAATAGCATACCATGAATAAAAACGGCCTTAAACTTGATAAAAATAATTTTTTATCGTCTAAATGTTTATGTTATTATCAAGAGGAAAGATCAAAGTATTTTTTGAACATTTTTGACATTTTTTAATAATTTCTAGCATGTCAAAAATTTTCGTTAAAAATCTTCATCAGCCGTTTTTTTTTAACTTTTGTTTACAAAAGTCAATGTCGCCATTTAAAATTCATTTAAAAAATCAAATATGATTTTTTTTTAAATAATTTTAAGAAAATTATAAATTATAAAGTTTATTTAATATATTTTGAAACAAAGATTGCTTATTTTCTGTGCTGAAAAAATGTTCTTTCAAATGGGAGAAAGCCAGTCTGAACTGCAGTGTTGATTGACGAGTGACGTGCGTTATTTCATCACGCACTGACATTTTACGTGAGGAAATTTATAGTACGGAAGGTCATAAGTGACAGTTTACTTTTACGTTAACAACTTATTTACCTCGTTATTTTTAAGTAGGCATAGCATGAAAAAACGGCCTTAAACTTGACGAAAGCAGAATTTTATCGTCAAAATGTTTATGTTACTCTTAAGGGGAAAGAACAAAGTAATTTTTAATTATTTTTTAACCTAAATGTCAGAATAGTTTCTGAAAGTTTCATTAAAATCTGACAATTATTTCTATTTTTGCAAGATTTTCAAAATGTGTGCTGTAAGAAAAAAATACACAAAAATTCGCCATGTTATTTACTAGAGTTTCGGTGATGACGAGAAACAAGGTTTTTCAATCGAAAGTTAGAATGTTCTAATAAAGACAGAAAACTTTTTAAAAATAATTAAAAATTACTTTGTTCTTTCCTCTTAATAGTAACATAAACATTTAGACGATAGAATTTTGTTTTCGTCAAGTTTGACGTCTTTTTCATAATGCTATGCTCTTTTTTAGCGATCTCGTGGAGGTACCTACTCAAATGTAAAATGATGAGTCATTCGTGCCAATTTAATACTGCGCTTAAATTCATGGAGTTCACATTGTCTATGCTGCTAGGCTTCATTAATTCTGTTTCCAATTCTCCGGAGATATTTTTAAAAAATTTGTCTTTGTTAAATATTTCGTCTTTTCTCTTTCATTTTTCTCTCATCCTCTTTTCATTTCTTCCTTGTGTTATCCATTTTTTTTAAAATCAGGATTGGCGTCCCACAGGGGTATCCTTTACCTTAGGATCATTTCTAGGACACAGAAATACAAAGGCACATCGGAATGCGAAATATGTCTTTGAGAAACTAAGCAATGAATTGATGAGAAAATCTCTTTAGAAACAAAGCAAAGAAGGTCATCAAATTGTTATCTAATCTGCTATATAGCAGAGGATATGTTCCAACAGATGGAGAAGAGACTTGAAATGACAGATAAGTGTGGTTCTACTGAGGAATATCTAGAATAACATAAATACTTAAAAAAAAAAACATTTCACCCCAAGCAAGGTAATAAAGCCACTATGATGCAAAGAGTTATTGATTTCGAGAGAATATGAGAAAAAGAATATATTATTAAGGAGAGAGAACAATAAAAGAACAGCAATTACTTTTTTTAATCATTTCACGCAAGAAAGCCACTAAGTTCTAAGGAATATCTAGAATACTATAAACAAAGCGTGTGAACAACGAGGACGCTTTAAGAAAATGAAGTACAAGAAAAATTATGCTTAGAATATACAAAAATTTTACTTTCCTACCAACTCCTTTTGCTAGACACAAAACTCAGCAAGCCATGAGAGGTGCAAAATTTTAAATCAAGACAACTAATACCTAAAATTTTAAAAGGAAAACGTTTATTTACAGTTTACACAATTACGAAAAAAGGTACAAGTTTGCCAAAAAATTTCCTTCAATGCGCCTCAAAGGCGGGGTAGCCATTTCAAGGACTACCAACGAAAGGTGGAAATTTACATCAAAGGAAAAAACAAGTATTTTGTAAATGGTAACAAGAGAAAACAATACAAGAAATCAGTAAAATCAAAGGTTCAAATACCTTTGGAAAAAAAGAGACAAAAACACGTATTTTCACAGCAGTTATTTTGAAAAAGGGCCCCTTTTAACTTTACACGGTTCGTGCTTGAAAATTTCCTCGAAATCTTTTCGTTTTAGGCTGTCCAGGCACAGGAGAATTTTCACTTCAACTTTTGGCTGGTAACTGATGCCTTCTTTGATGTTGACGACCTGACGTCTTTTCAACCTCATTCTTTTCTTCTATGTCCCTCTCCCCTCTCTGCCCTCTGATCTCCTCTCTCTGCCCTCTGATCTCCTCTCTCTGCCCTCTGATCTTCCCTCTCTGCCCTCTGATCTCCTCTCTCTGCCCACTGATCTCCCCTCTCTGCGCTCTGATCTCCTCTCTCTGATCTCCCCTCTCTGCCCTCTGATCTCCTCTCTCTGCCCTCTGATCTCCTTTCTCTGCCCTCTGATCTCCCCTCTCTACGCTCTGATCTCCTCTCTCTGATCTCCCCTCTCTGCCCTCTGATCTCCTCTCTCTGCCCTCTGATATCCCCTCTCTGCCCTCTGATATCCTCTCTCTGCCCTCTGATCTCGTCTCTCTGCCCTCTGATCTTTTTCTCGTCTGCCCTTTGATCGTTGATAGCATTCCTTTTTATTGAAGAAGCCGGATGATACCAGCTCCGGACAGAATTTCACAAGGGCCCGAAAAACTCGTTTCTCATTGGCCAATATAAATAAAATAAAAAAGAAAAAAAAAATCCGCAAAAGACGAAACAGTTTTGACGTATCAACCACTTGATACTAAAAGGCCATAAAAACTGCTACGATTTTGAACACAGTCTGGCCTTCAGAAGAATACATTTTTTTTTCCAAAAAAGTGTATAAAAAAACAACATAAGCGATTATACATAGAATTTTAACATTTTTAAAAATGATAAAATTTTTATAAATCTGAAAAATTTTAAATTTTTGGTACTCACAGTGAGGAAAGAAGGCGTGGAGCAGCTCCCCCCCAGTTAATATCCGCCTGTCATGTGATCCTTAAGGATCAGTCACCGAAGTCCAGCCTATACAGAAAAGCCTTATCTATTTTTACAGCTTATCATCCTTTTGAGGTTATTTAAAGCCGCAACATATTTTTGGATTGTAAGAATTGTTTTTTTTTTGGGGGGGGAGATAATAATGATTTTCTGATACAAGTCTTACTATTTAGCCCATAGTTGGGAGGAGACGAGATAGATTCATACCTTTCCCAAGGGTATTTGCGCGTAAGTGAATATAACGTACTCAAAAGGAACTCAGTTTTCCGATTACACCAACCGCACATCTAAGCTTACAGTACCTGGTATTCCCATACAGTTACCCATCTAGGTACTGACCAGCTTTAACATTGCTTAACTTCGGCGATCGGACGGGAACCTGTGTTTTAACGTGATATGACCGTATGCCATGTAGAAGTGAATATTTGCGTAGACACCGTATCTAGAAGATGCTTATCTGACATTTAGGTTAAAAATCCTCTTGCAACATGACGTACCAAATTTGTGAGTAAGGACTAGCATCCCTTTTCAAGGTCGGAGGGAATACATACAACACATTCTACAATTTTTTAACATGGATTTCTAGAAAATGAAACCTTCATTTATGTTTTTTTTCTCCCCAATTTCTGCTCAGTTGGTTTGATTTCTTTCTTTCAAATATTCGAGGGAAAATCTCTAACGACAGTAGATACTACGGCGGCCGCCTATATATGCTTGTTTAGCCCAACCAAATGCTTGTATAGTCTAACATTCGAAGGTAATGTTAAAGGCAAGGACATCAGTGGAAGGAAATAACAAGTAACCTATTTAATGTGTTTGTGTGAATGGATGTCAGAACAGATAATAACCGGTCAAAAGTTACATAGATCATCAAACGATAGAATGTTGTGGAGAGCCATGATCGTGATCGTCGTGAAGGGATATGGTAATGAAAGAAAAAGAAAGAAGAATGTTATTCCGTTTAATGACATAATCTCTTAGCAATATTACGAAAAATTAATTTCATAATTATTTTTGTTAATTAAGAATTAAATTTTATAATGATTAATTTAACACAACATCTATTAAAATTGCCTTAGCGCAATTCAGCTGAAATTGCAAGGTTTAATTTCAGATTCGTTAGCCATTAATTAACAGCAACTATATCCAGCGTGGAAACTTTATGTCGGACGATTTCGACGCATGAAAGAGCAGAGTAATTACTCATTAATTTCTGGGCTGTCAACGGCTGCGTTACACTTGTGTACGAAAGGGAGTTGCCAGGGGAAACACTGCGTTGTTTCAAGATTTATATTCAAATCGAGTTTCACGGTTGAGATTTTAATGTCTTAAGCTGAGGGAGAACAATTCTTTTGGGATTATGTTACTTTCGCTTTTGAGGTTTGGTTTAGTTTGTTTTACGGCATAAAATAAGTTATTTAATGTCGACAAGATTTTAAGGATAGGTTCGTATGAATAGAATACGGATTCTTTGTAAGAAATCAGTTTGGTTTGGTGTGGTTTGGTTTGTTTTACGGCATATCAACCTCAATGAGTTATTTAATGTCGACAAGATTTTAAGGATAGGTTCATATGAATAGAATACGGATTCTTTGTAAGAAATCAGTTTGGATTGTTTTGTTTTACAGCATATGAACCTCAATGAGTTATTTAATGTCGACAAGATTTTAAGGATAGGTTCGTATGACTAGAATACGGATTCTTTGTAAGAAATCTGGAGATCAGGTGTCATTGTATTTTTGTACAGAGGGCTTTTGTCGAGAGTCAAATGTATTGCTGGTGATATTTTTTCCAAAAAATGTATCGCTGGTATTTTTAATATAAAAATCTGTTTTTATACCTTCATAGTGTTTGGAACCCAGTTCTGGGTTTAAGTATTTGCCCATAGCTGGGACCCTAACAGGTGCTATTACCCCGGATCACAGTGGACCTGGGAAGAGGAGCAATTAAAAAGTTCCACATTCCTATAAAACCTCCGAATCACAAGACCTTGCCTTTGGATGTAGTTTATCGTTATCGCCAAGACGCTTCGATTTTGAGTAAGATTCACCTAATACAAGGCTTGGGAGACACTCCAAGTAGAGGGTTTCTGAATGAAGTTCGTGATATGAACGTATTAAGCTGTTACATATATTCGTTCGTTTTTTTTTTAATATTCTGCAAATGATCTTGAAAAATATTCTTTCGTGTAATTTTGTTTTTGCTTCTTAGTCACTCTGGAAAACTGTTGTCTAACAATGTTGAAATTATTTTTCAGATTAGACACCTCTTTGGTTTGGAAGGCCGAGTAAATAAGAACTACCAAAGCTGCTCTAGACATTTGTGCTATGTACGGAGATGAAATGCTTCAAGAGAATCAAACGGTCAGTGTATGTTGAACAAAGTGTCTCAAAGATGCAATTCAGCTGACAAAACCTGATCGGTAATACAGTGTGATTATTCAGTATTCGCCCCGATGTTGCTAACCTGACAAAATATATATAATTTAAAAGCTCAGTTGTGAATTCCTGCCACACCCACCATATTCACCTTCGGACTACCACTTTGTCAGTCGTTTTCTAATAATTTGAGGGGTGTTTCATTCAACAACGACGTGGAGCTTAAAACGTGGCTTGATAAATTTTTCCAGTCAAAACCTCGTAATTTCTATTGTCGCGGCATTGAAGAGTTAGTGGACCGATGTCAGGAGGTCGTAAACATTTAAGGGGAATAAATTGTGGATTGGGTCATCGAAATTATTAATAAATAACAAATTTATGTGACAACCTAATAAAACGAGCAAGTATGGAGTGAAAGTTATGAGAATAAGGAGGAAAAACCACGACTGGTCCTTGACTTGAAGTTGAGAGGTTTAAGTGGAACTTTCTACTTAACAATGGAATACAGAAAGGTCTGAACTAGTGAAATTAAAGAACGGAGATCATCTGAACTTTTGCCATGGAAATAGCGATAGAGTAATGATGGACTTGCAATGTTGTGTCTGTGGAAAAGAAATTTCAGAGTGTAGAATAAGACTTCTTTCACAGGAATGTGTAAATGTCCAAGCTGTAAAGGTCTGAATTGTTAGAACTCAAGATCATCTGAATATTTGGCATGGAAATAGTGATAGGCTTGTTCAGTTGTGTCTGAGAGAGAGAGAGAGAGAGAGAGAGAGAGAGAGAGAGAGAGAGAGAGAGAGAGAGACTGTAGAGTGGAAAATGAATAAACTTCTTCAAAATTGCGTAAAAGATTTCGAAACCTACCAAGTCTGGTAAATAATGATTGCACTGTCTCAGCACAAATATAGAAGCAATACTCCATTTTGGGTCTGACCCTTGTAAAGATAAAACATGGTAGAATGAGTTAGGTTTTTTGGGGAGTGGTTCAAGTCGCCGTCCATTTTTCAACGTTCACTTTTTACTCCTTTCAATTCTTTGGAACATATAATGAGATAAATAAAAGTTCGAATTAATTAATTAATTAATTAATATGTTTTTTTCAACAGCTTATCCATCCTTTGCAGGTTCTTTAAAGCCAGAAAATATTTTTTTGTTTATATGAATTTTTTAAAGATAATAATTTAGCGATACTAGTAAACCCTGTTCAAAGCAAGAGAAAAGTTACAGGCATTACAGAAAAATATATACAAATACGATAAGTTACTTTGTTTGTTTAGCGACATATCAACACCTCATGGGTCATTTAATTTTGGTGGGGGAGTATTATGATGTGCACATGGCTGAGTAGTTAGAACGCTTTAGGCACCTCGAGGCGGTGTAATGGTTAGCAAGCTTGTCTTGCTAGAACAATTATGACTGAGTAGTGAGTTAGATCCTCACTGGGTGCCCCATACTTTCGGCCTTGTGCCACATCTAAGCTATGCTTGGAAAATCCTTTGGGCATCTCGAGGTGGTGTAATGGATAACAAGCTTGTCTCGCTAGAACAATTACGACTGAGTAGTGAGTTCGATCCTCACTTGGTGCCCCATACTTTCGGCCTTGTGCCGCATCTAAGCTATGCTTGAAAATCCTTTGGGCACCTCAAGGTGGTGTAATGGGTAATGCTTGTCTCGCTAGAACAATTACGACTGAGTAGTGAGTTCGATCCTCACTGGGTGCCCCATACTTTCGGCCTTGTGCCGCATCTAAGCTATGCTTGGAAAATCCTTTGGGCACCTCAAGGTGGTGTAATGGGTAACAAGCTTGTCTCGCTAGAACAATTACGACTGAGTAGTGAGTTCGATCCTCACTGGCTGCCCCATACTTTCGGCCTTGTGCCGCATCTAAGCTATGCTTGGAAAATCCTTTGGGCACCTCGAGGTGGTGTAATGGGTAACAAGCTTGTCTCGCTAGAACAATTACGACTGAGTAGTGAGTTCGATCCTCACTGGGTGACCCATACTTTCGGCCTTGTGTCACATCTAAGTTACGCTTGGAAAATAACTAGAACGTTCGCTTTCCGAGCATGATCCCCGGGTTCGAACCTCACTGTTGTCGATTTGTCAGGAAGGTGACTTCTTGATGTTAACGAGGCGATCTCAGTGTGGGGCAGCGTTGGAAAGTAACTGAAAACCATACAACGGGTTGACCTAAACCTTGTGAGTGAAATTGGGTAGACAGAACCCTTGGGGACCGTTGATGTCTGTGCTAGCACGAAGTCCCAAGTCATCGTGACTGAGGGTTTGAGCGTACTGGCCTTGTTCAGATGGTTGATCACGCTTGATAATACGTTATCTCCCAGAAACTGTAACTAAGTTCTGCTCAGCATAGTTGCTGTATAAACCACAGGTGGGCTCGGTGGGTGTTGAACAAACAGGAATGTGTCTGAGCAGGCGTCTGCAACAGGGATTGGCAAGCCGCCCTAGTAGAAGGGCATCCATTCAGCCATACATGATTCTACTGGACATAAAGCGGAGGGTCGGTTTCTCTTGTCTTTAAGTAATAAACCAACGCCCTCCAAATATATAGATATTTTATATATTAATAATAGGATAATGTATTTAGATTCCCAATGGATGACCTTCTAATAATCGTAATAACTTGACAAAATATGCCGTCATTTTTTACGGCATCTGTAAATGAATCTATATTTATAAAGTTGTAGCCTTTGTCTGTCTGTTGGTTATCGAACCCCTTCTAGTGTTTTGGAGATATACCCCATAACTATATATATTCTGAAATTACATTACCCAGGGTAAGTATATTTCATTTTGATCAAAGAGGCTTCCTGGAATGCACCCCCCTCCCACTAGTGAATTTTTTTTCTCTTTGAGATAAATTAAATTTAAATTTGAATAAGGGAATGACTTCTATGATATTTGCATAAGTATAATTCATTTGGCTCAAAGGAGATCCACGGGGGCACAAAACCGTCCACTGAATTCTTTTTTCCTTTTGATTTAAATTAAATTCAAATTTGAACAAGGG